TTGTCTCCTTTGAAGACGGACAGATGAGTCAAGGTCACCATTACATGTTGAGGGATGCATGGCAATATGCTCAGGGCTGAGGTTAATTCAGAGTGAGATAGGAGGCAGTCTCTGCCTTTATGGAGTGTATCATTAAGCGCAGTACACAAACACTTTAATAGAATCAGGATGTGTGATATGAGAGCACGACAGAAGGGCAGAATTGGCAGTCTGGAGGACCAGAAGAAGCTTCCCTGAGGAAGGGACAGTTAATGTAAAACAAAAGATGAGAGATTTGCCAGAAGACACACAGAGGTTTGGGGTAGAGAGAAAAGGATGGTTGAGGACCAGGATGCATGAAGCATTGACTAAAAAAAAGGGCCTGGTGGGGGCAAGGCTGAGAAGTTCAGCAGGGGCTAGTTGACACAGGACTTTGTAGGCCACATGAAGTAGGGTCATAATCCTTAGTAATGGTAAGACACTGAAAAATTTTAAGCAGAGGGATACACTCAAATGAATTTTTAGATGCAAATTCCAAGGTTCTTTCCTAGAAAATTCTGGTGATCTAGGAAAGGTTCCCAAATTTGAATTTTAAAGACGTTGCGGGAATCTGACATGAAGCTAACTTTAGGAATTACTATTATGGAACATCAGTAATTCCTGTGGGTTTATGCGAGTAAGTAGTACTTAAAATAATTCTACAGTATGTACAGAATACACACGTTCAATTGTTCATTTATTCTTGGTCATATTATATCAGCCCTGGACCAAAAGCAACACCAGCGTATCACTCATTCTAGGGGCTGTTTGGCATGTAGAACGGGTGAATGGGACTTGGGATGGTACAGCACTTGCTATCAGCACCCTGTCTACTCACTGCCACTTCAGCACACATGGGGCTGATGTCCCCTATGCCACCTGCACTGCTTTCCTGCAGGATTCCGGGGGCAATGGCTGCTTTGGCTGCCATGCAGCAAGGCAGATGTGCTGAGGAATGCCATGTGCAGCCTCACTGTGGTGCAACAGAAGTGGTGTTGGCACAGTTCAGCTCCCTCGTCCCGCTACTGGGCTAGATCTGAGATGTGCAGTTTGGACAGCATCTCAGAGTTTTCCCAGATCTGTGCTCCTGCTGCCCACGGTGGCAACCAGTATGACAACTATGTTTCTTCTGGCTGCCTTTCCTTCCTTGTCCCCTTCTTCACTCCCTGACTCATGTTTTCTTCACATCCCAAGGAAACCACCTGCAACCATCTCCTGGTCTCAGGATTTACTTCTAGGGGTCAAAACTGTCTCTTGCCGTCACAAAGTACATTAAAGAAAAGACTGGCCAACTGCATTTTAGCAAATTATTAGGAATGCTGCAAAGAAAATCTGCTAAAATCTGAGTGGAACATTATATCCAGGCAAGCAATGATTACAGGAAAAAAAAAAAAGAAAAGATAATTTGATATTACATGAATCATCTTATTTAAGCCATCTCTCCAAAGCATAACCCAGGAATATAAAAGAAATTGGCCAGCCATGCTTTTGTTCCTAAGGAACAAAAGAAAAACAGATTGAGCTCTCCCAATCCAAATTTCTAAAATCTCTAAAACCTGAAACTTCTTGAGCAATTTTAGAGAATTTCATAGTAGGGATGCTCAACTGGTAAAGTCCATGCAAATATGCTTAAATTTGAAACACTTCAGATCCCAAGCATTTTGGATAAGGGATACTCACTTGTATCATGAAACAAATTCAACCTCATTAATAAAAACTAACATTTATGCTGCATGAAGTGGCACATGCCTATTGTCCCAGCAGTTCAGGAGGCTGAGGCAAAAAAATCTTAAGTTCAAAGCCAGCCTCAACAACTTAGCAAGGCCCTGTCTCAAAAAAAAAAAAAAAAAAAAAAAAAAAGGGGCTGGGGATGGGGCTTAGTGGTAAAGCACTCCAGAGTTCAATCCCCAGTACAAACAAACAAAAAATAAAACAAAAAACCCACTAACATTGATAAAGGGCTTTTTTACTTATTAATCAAATTATAAGAGCTTTATATTATATTTAAACTTTCCATCTCACAAACTCTGAGGTTAATAACACGTAAGGAGCAATTTGTCTTCTCCTAAGAAGTAGGGAAGCCAAGATTTAACTAAACAGTACCCTATGCCTTGACTCACCAAGTTATACTCCTTTTCTATGAAGAAAAGTACAACGACAACATAAAACACTATGATGTGCTCTTACAGTGCTGGATCTAAAATATTTATTGGTTTGCACCTTGGATATGAATCAGAAATATTTAATATTTTTTTCTTCTATTATTAGTGCATTATGATTATGCCAATAGTGAAAATTGTTGACACATACTTGTACATGCACACAATATAATTTGGTCAACAGTTGTGTTCCCCAACACTCTTTCCCTTTCCTTTCCTCCCCACTTCCCCTGGAGCCTTTCCTGAACTTTACTGATTTCCCTTCTGTTTTCATGAAATTTGCCCCTACCTTTCCTTTTTCCTCTCTAGCTTCTACAAATGAGAGAAAACATATGACCCTTAACTTTCTGAGTTTGATTTATTTTGCTCAACATAATGTCTCCAGTTTTTTCCATTTTCCTGCAAATGACATAATTTTGTTTTTCTTTATAGTCGAATAAAACCCCATGGTGCATATAAATATGTGCCATTTATACACACACACACAGACACACATACACCCCTCATATGTGTTCATATATGTCACATTATATATATTTCACATTATGTATATCACATCAACTATACCAAATTATATATGCACATATATATGTATATAGACAAATACTACACCATACTTTCTTTATCCATTCATCCATTAATGGACACTTAGGCTGATTCCATAGTTTTGACTATTGTGAATTGTGCTACTATAAACATGGTATGCATACACTGCTACAGTATGCTCAAAATTCTTTAGGATAAATATTGATGAATGGTATAACCGGGTCATTTTGAGATTCTACTCCTAGTCTATTGGGGAAACTCCATACTCATTTCCATCATGGTTTTACTAATTTACACTCTTACTGACAGTGTATACATGTCCCTTTCCCCACACACACTTTCCAGCATTATTTGTATTCTTGATGGCTGCCATTCTGACTGGAGTGAGATGAAATCTCATTATAGTTTTTGATTTGTAGAGAAATACCTAAGCTTAAAAGCTACATTTAGAGATTAGATAGTCAAGCTTGGAGCCTAATGGCAGGAAGCTAAGTGTTTAACATCAGACAAGGAAAAAAACCTGACAAAGTTTAGTAACATCAACTTTTTAGCGTCCCTTGGGTTTGTACATCTTAAGCTCTTATCAGGAGCTGGGGCAATGCCTGTAGTCCCAGCAATTCAGAAAGCTGAGGCAGGAGGGTTGCATGTTCAAGGCCAGCTTTGACAACTTGGTGAGACGCTGTTTCAAAATGAAAAATAAACAGGGCTGGGATGTAGTTCAGTGGTAGAGCACCCCTGGGTTCTATACCCAGCATCACTAAATAAATGGGAAAGCACTGAACAGAAAAGGATTGCATCACCGATAGTATTTACTCAGGGAAATAACATTTGAGAAAAATACCTAGAAGAAATGAGAACCATCATTGTATAATACCTAGTATAGCATCAAAAATACTCAATAAATATTTTTTAATCTACCAATAATAATTCACTTTCAGGAAAGTTTAACTTTTCCACCAGGAATTATAGAAGCTCTTAATCAATATGAGGTTACTTACTTCCTCTAGGCTTTAAGTGATTAAATACTTTTTAATTAAGCAAAAAATTGGTAATGCTATGTGCATTCCTGAATGTGTTCCAAATAATCTTATTTAATGTATAAATATAATGTACCAGTTAAAAACAAAACAAAACAAAATAATAAATAGAAGGAAGACCAATAGAGCAGAGGAAGAGGATTGTGAGGGGAGGTGAGAAAAGAAACAGGAAGCACTGGGGAATGAAATGGAGCAAATTATGTTATGTCCATTTGTGGAAAAGTCACAATAAATCAATATCATGCATAATTATAAGGCACTAATAAAAACATAATGAAATATAAACATTTTTTTCAAAATGAACAACCTTGGCAATTTTTTTTTTTATTCTAACTTCTTGTTATACTACTGATTTGCCCTAGGTGGACCTTTCTTATTGTTTCTTGGTTAGGTGAAAAAAAATGAGAAGCAAAGTAGAATTCCATAAAAAACTAGCTACAATGTCTGTGAGGTAGTTTTTTTTTCCCCGTATATTAAAACTGCAGCTTTCGCCAAAGTCAATGCAAAAAGTGAATTGAGAAGATGCAATTAAAGCAAGTGAGCACATGTGAACCCTCAAGAACAAGGCTCCAAGGCTCTCTACAGAAAAGGATCAAATCCTATGACCAGCAGAGTCCTGCCCCTATTTCTCCTCTCTCACTTGACATCAGGTCACTGCTGCTCTGTCATTGTCCCTCCACAAGTTAGAAAGGGACACATCTGCCATTTTCATCATAATGGAATAAGACACTTGAAAACTATTAAAACACACACACAAATCAAAGTAAAACATTACTAGTTAAGATCTTCCTGAAAAGAAGGAAATGCACTAGGAAAGAAAAGGAAGACCATTTCTTTACCTACTAAAGACAGTGTTTCCAGCCTTGGGCTACACACTGAAATTAGTTTTTTTTTTTTTTTCAAATGGAGGTCAGTCCAGCCTTGAACTCCTGAGCTCAAGCCATCTCCATCTCCCAAGTCCCTGAATTTACAAGTATGAGCCACCATAGGCAGATTTGTGTTAAGGTTAAGAAGAAAACAAGAAGAAGTAGAGGGAAGACTCTTTGATCTCTTGGGAAAATGTGAGTCAGGATGGAAGAGGGGGAGCTGTCAAGCACTGAATCCTACCATCATTTCATAGATGAAGTGCCTTTTCAACAATGCACGAGAAAACATTACCACAGAACATAAAATGTCTAAGACAGGCAACCTCTTCAATCAGAGTGCTTCCCAACAACACAAATATCATCATTTTAATTACCTGATTTCAGGAGATGAAGAGCTCTCATTTGTGTCTGTCCTTTTATTTCTTGGAAATGATGGGCTAGCTGGAGGCATCTCACCACTTAAGCGGTCTGGGAAAATTCGGTCTTTATTCAAATTGATTTCTGAATAGGGACAGTTGGCAGCACTAACAGATTAAAAGAAAAAGAAAAGAACATTTCCATTAGACCATACTTACTTCTTTCAATTAAATGACAGGCTACAGAGTATAAAATTCTAAAATTGATCTGAGTATGTTATGTATATTTATATATGTTTATACAAATGATCAAACCTATTGTATGAAATACTGTATCTTTAAAACATAATTTAGGTAAAGTCTGATAGAAAACATGCCTTTGCATAGATTCTTAAGAAGCAATTTGCTGCAATCTTTAAAACTAAGCAATGGTCATTGAAATTTTTTCTTTGTATTGTTCAAGGGTAAAAAGCTGTGCATATCTCCGAGAAGAAAATGCTTAAAGACATCACAGGAGGGCTCCTGAGAGAAGCAGGAGAGACTAATCTGGTCAATGAGGCACATCTGCTTCCTAAGGGGATCCTCCAGGCTCCAGAGAGTCAAGAGCTACTAAATTTCCTTTGTAACAGTTGCTGCCTCCAAAGGAGGGAGGACCCCCCTGTGGAACATTCCCATCCTCAGGTCTGCACCTATAGCTAATGTATTAGAAAATACACACATATACCTAATCCTATCCCTAATATGATAAGGGACCAGAAGCTGACTTGGACAGCCACCCCTGTAGCTCCTTTCTCTTCCCTCTCTGTGCCTGCAGGTCAGCTCTGAGGTCTGAGGATGATGGCTCCTATTATCTAAGCAAAGGAAATCAAGGTCATTAATTGTTAATTTAGGTAGACACCTGTGCTTGGGTCTCAGCATTCCAGTCTTCAAAACAAGTGAAGAACTGAAAACAAGTGAGAACCTGTATCTCACTGACCTCTCTAACTAACTATCTACCTTGATTGTTTATAGGAAGCACCCCCAGACTCCACTCTGGGGTTCTGATGGAACTCAGGGCCTACAGAGACTCCTGATGCAAGAACAAGTACTCTGCCACTGAGCTACAGCCCCAGCCCCAGGAAATCTTCTTAAATCTGGAAATGATTTTTCTTTGGGTAAATTATATTCATGTCTTATGTGTTCTTTTCTTTAGTTTAGGTCGTAGTGAGAATATTGATAATTACCCAGGAGAAATTTTAAACAATGCTTATTTACCTACCATCCACCAAGAGAAACTGATACACACTCCTGGGAAGAAAGAAGAGTTTTTCCTACTAGATAATTCTAATTATAAAATTTATCGCTAATAACCTATAAGAAAAAATGCAACCTTTATATCATTTAACTACATGCTACTGTACACTGGTTAAGCAAAAGAAAAAAGTAAATAACACCTGATCATATGTTGATATAAATTCACATAATGTTAACCCAGCAATAACAAAAGCAATAGCCAGTAATATTTATGGAGCATTTACTATCAATCAAGCATAGGGCTAAGTGCTTTTCATGCTACATTTTGCTTACTCTTCCCAACACACTATGAAGAAAGCATTTCATGAGATAAACTAGGGCTTAAAAAGTTCAGTAACTTCAGTCTTTAATTATTCCAATAATTTTGTATGTATTTATCAAGCAAGTATTTATCAAGTGCCTATTATGTGCTAATTACCTTTCAAGGCATTGGAAATATAATAGAAAATAAAAAGACTAGATCCTGATCTTATGGAGCTGATAGTCTATGGGGAGATGGGCAATGCAGTCATCCAAATAAGTTAAAGAAATTCACACTGAAGAAAGTAAAACAGTATGACATAAGAGAGGATGTGAGGTCTCCTGGGAGGAGCAGCATCTGGGCAGAGTCCTAATGGTCAGAAAGCAGATGCTCAGTCCACTCATAGGGAAGACTGGTCCAGGATGTGGAACCAAAGCCAGAAGTGTTTGAGGGAGAGACAGACCAGCTTGGCCAGCATGTGAGAATGAGGCAAACCAGGAGATGCAGACAGGGTGAGGATCATGCAAGGCCCAGCAGTCTGCAGTAAAAATTTTTACTTTTGGTTTATTGGAAACCATGGAGAGCTTCAGGTAAGGGAATGATAGGGTTTAACTTAAAAAAAAAAAAAAATCACTCAGGCTGCCTTGTGGCTAGATCTCAAGGGGGAAAAACTGGAGCAAGGTAAGAATTTAAGAGTAAAGACACAATGGAGATGTGCATATATGTGGCCGAAATGGAGGAAAAGTGAAAAGGACCACCATAGCGTCTTCTGTGATCCCAACGTGACCTGTGAGTGAACAAGGGAAGGCATGTAAAAACAGCCTTTAGGTTTCTGGCTTGAAGAACTGGTGGTAACAGAAACACCACTTTTGTCCTTTTTTTGGAGATAAGAATGACTAGGGATAAGTAGATATGGGGCATATCAGGAATTAGCCATCCAAGCAGAAATACTACTTGTCCAAGGTCATATAGTAGTGAAGCAGCTCAGCAGAATGAGTGCTCTATTTTATTCATCTTACTGAGAAGAGGAATACAGACGAAGGCTGAAGGATTAGGCTTGGGCAGAGAGCAGGGTGCACCAGCATAGTCCCTTAAAATGGTCTGCATAGGATGGGGCTCCTGGGCCGCAACACTCATGCCACTGACCACAGGCTCCCTGACACACTCCGACCTATTCCTCAATTTCATAGAGGTGCAGATGCCAACTCTGACTTGCCTTCATACCACTTCTCAAGATGAAAAACCCGGATGGCAACATCTGACTGGGATGGGAGGGTCTTCTGCCCACACTGTAAACTTCTGAGGAAGAAAACCAGGCTCCTTCCTTACAGACCCTTACAGAAGGTGGCACCTGCCTAACACTAATCCTGATTTCAGGCAGAATCCAAATGTCTACAAAATGCTTCTACTCAGATATCCTAAGTCACCTAATAAGAGATATGTTTAAGACCAAAATTTATCATCTCTAGTAAATCCTGCTCCCTGTCCCCCATCCCTGAAGAGTAAAAACAGAACTAGCTCCTCCTGCTAACTCCTGTTCTCTTTTTCTTTCTTCTTTTTTGGTAACAGGGATTGAACCCAAGGGCACTTAACCACTGAGCTACATCCCTAGCCCTTTTTTTGTATTTAGACACAGGTTCCCTCGTAGGGCCTCACTAAGTTGCTAAGGCTGGTTTGAGCTCACGATCCTCCTGCCTCAGCCTCCCAAGCCACTGGGATTACAGGCATCCACTACTGTATGGCTGGCCTATTCTCTTTTTCTGACAAAGGAAACACATTAACCTGCCTCAGATCTTAACCATCATTGATTCCTCTTATTTTATATGTTTATTGCAAATTTATCTACTTGGATTTTCTGACAACAGAAGAGAAGAAAAAAAATTCAAAGACAACGTTTTTGTTTCTTTTGACAATATGCTGCTAATCCTAGAATAGCACAATCATCAAGTTTCACTTATTGTTAAGTTCACTTATTGTGGCTTTGCGATCAGTGAACAACAGATCACCTTGGAATGTGACGGGACACAAAGCAAATAAAAGAACATACAGGTCCTGTTCACAGTCCCAATAACACAAAGACATGCAGGATTCTTAGATGGTTGGGTCCCCAGCTAAACATCATAGGCACAGAGTAGATGACTTACATTACATGCTCTTCAGGGCAGGACTTCATATATTTATTGAATAAATGAAAGAAGAACAGATATTTCTTGATCACCTTTGTAAACTTGGGTAGCCAAGAGAAAAGCAGAAATGCTGGTCAGATGATGCTTACTATCCAAATCAATCTCTTTCTGTCTCTCTTTCTCTCTCTCCTTGGGGCAACAGATTGCCAGAGCCCAGAAAGGAATCTCAAAATTCTCAATCCAAAGTAGGAAAAATAACCACAGGCTCTCAGCAGAAATTTACTAATGAGCAGGTAAACACCACCCACCCAGGGAGCCCTGTGATGATCAGCTATTGACTTTACACTGACCCTTTCACTTCTTTTGAGCCCCGAGAAAAATAAAAAATGCTTGCACACCATCCATCCTGCCGCTCCTGTGGGGCGGAGGAGGATGCCACTGGCTACTGAAGCAGGAGGTGATGAAGAAAGGGGATGCCACAAAACACAAGCAGCCACAGCCCTAAAGGGATGGCATGCTGTGCAAGAGAGCAGGCAGCCTGGTTCTAAACGCTCTCTGCCGCTCTGTCCTCCACTCAGTAAGGATCAAGCACAACTTTCCAGGCTATTTCTTTATCATCCTCAGTAAACTGTGACCTCTCTGGGCACCTTACCAGGCTAGGTGCTCTATGTGTCTTACCTAATTCATCTCTCAACAACCCTAGGAAGTAGTTCCTACTACCATACTCATTTTAGCAGATGCAGAAACTAAGGCTTGGACAGGGCAACTGGGCAGTGTCACTCAAATAGTTCTTGGTGGAGTTTGACCATGAGCTCTGGCTGTCTCTTAACTGCTGTGCCATGTGGGTAAACAGTGCATGGGAATGTTCAACAATTTTCTTATTCCTAAGCCATGAAAATGAAATGGATGTGAAAGTACCATCTTGTAAGCATGAAGCTGCCACCTGATCTCTAGACGTACGCAGCTCAAACGTACCACACACTTACTAAGTACCAGGTACTGTTCCAAGTACTTTATCACATCCTCCTAGTAGTCAGATACTACTGTCACCCATTTTACAAATAAGGACACTGACAGAAAAAGGTGAAGCACTGGCTCAAGGTCAAGGAACTTTGTAAAATAATTCTTACCTGATGCCTTTCAAGGCAAGCCAACACACAGACATATGCCATGTATTTCACTACCTCACCCATCCACACTGACTCCCCCTTAGGATAAGAATTATACTGCAATTCATAAATAATCATGTTTTCAAGGAATTAAGTTCACTCCTATGTCTCCTGCTTAAAGGAACACAAGAGATTTGTGATTTTTTTTTATCATATTAGAAATGCTGAGTATTCTGTTTACTATTTCTTCTGTAATGTATAAATAGAAGTTATTTTTTAAATTGTACATGAACTTTGAAAAGTCACTAGTGCTGATACAAAGAGTTACATTCTTATAATACATGTAATAATTTCTAGTTTTTCACGTATTAAGCTTCTAGTGACAAAACCTTAGTAAGGTTTCATTCTATAAACAATGTATGTGTATTCCATTACACAATTCTTCAGAGCAGAGGAATAGAACATAGGATTACACTGTTCTCTCTTTTAAGGGTTCTATTAGGCTGCATGTGGCTCCATTAGCAAATAATTCCATATCAGCCATTTAGACAAATACTTGCCTAATGGTCCCTCTCAGGGGGGCTATTTTTTCTAAGTAACACTGGTCTGCTCATTAGGTAAGGTGAAAGGACCACCTGACTCACTACTTTCCACTGCCATTTTAAAAACTTTATAAATGGAAGCATATTTATTTAAATAATCAGGCAAGATCTTGTTTAAATGTTCCTATGATCATTCTCACACTCTGTCCTGACAAAAAAAACACAAGACAGGCTCTATCAGGAAAGCCAACATACAGACATATGCAGAGACACAGATGCCCATCAGGGCTGAGGTGAGTCCTGCTTCTTCTGACACTCTTCCTGGGCACACACCTAGGCATCGAACCTCAGCCTCCACATCTATAAGACGGTGCCCAATTCACAGACTTGAGGAGCATATAAAACAGGTCAAATGTGTGAGTCCTTGGAATAGTGTGTGGGAAATCTCTGCTACATCCTACCAAATTACTGCTATGAATGCTGCTTTACTAGGGGGTTAGAATTAAGCAATATGGCTAGGAATATCCCTAGAAAACATGGTACCCCACATCTGACACTCTCACTGATCATTTTTATTCCTAAAAAAAAGGTCACATTCTCAAACTTCATTACTGAGATGCATGTTCTGTTTCTAACACTTCTTGGATCAAATTCAATTTATAATCTTCAGAGATGATAGCAACAAATGCTAGTCAAAACACAGCCTTTCCGTTATGTGTGCACAAAACGGACTATATTCATGCTAAAAGAGCATCTTTCCTTGTTATCTAAGCAAAGAATGCATGTTTTGATTTATGCAGTTTCTCAGTAAATTAATCCAGAGAGAATTTTCTCATTATGTTTTCCTAAACGCAGCATTCTCTGCAAGGACAAAAATAAGTGCCAGTGAAATGAACCTTTCAAAGAATATCCATGATGCAGCAAGCTATACCATGAGCCTACTAAAGAAACGGAAAGCAGGCTGGCCTTTTAAGGATTAATATCCTGCCAGAATAAAGAACACTGGGAATCGAAAATAGGACAGCCTCATCAGGGATCCTAGGAAAACCCGGTCCAAAGGCTGAGAAGAGCAGAGGGCACTTGGGCAGAAGGTGGAGCCTCCCACCCATTCTGTGAACTGCATTCCTCTGTCCAGAGGCCCCTGACCACCAAAGATCAAATAAAAATTCAATGGCATCCCAACAGCACACTGTCAGTGTTCACCTGTATTTTGAATTTCTTTATTCTTTTCCTTCACATTTGAGCAATTTGCCTTTAGTCCACTGAATGCCATGGGATTGTATAGTGCTAAGGTAAATGTGACAAAGCTTCAACATTAATTACTGTTTTGTATCTTATATTTTAATTAAATTGTGTATAGCTATCTAGTTCCATCAGTACATGAGTCTTTGAAGGCTAGGTAGATGATGATTCATGGAGTAGTGCCTTGAAAAGCAGCCAGGGGGAGTGGTAAAGAATACAGAGCCTCAAGCTATACAATGCTCCCATCAAACCAGCTATAAGGCGAGTTATGAAACCTCTCTAGTGTCTCAGCGGTCTCACCAAATCTTGTGGGAAAGTAACAGCTCTGATATCATTGGGTTGTTCTGGAAAGCTATCCAATACATGTAGAACAATTAGGGCAATCCCTTGCACAGAGTAAATAAATGGTCGATATGTATTCATTGTTCTATTGGCTGCTCACAAAAAATTTACTAAATGTACAATGGCAAATTAGCATGCTCATGAATTGTTTCTGGTATTTAGACTTATATAAATGCCTGAAAAATTCAGCTGCTTTCACTAGGCAATATTTAATAACTTCCAAGATGTAGTATTTTAAACTCAGTTTAAATTAATCCAGTAAATTAATCCAAAAAAGGACTGCTAAATGGATACTTGCAAATGGAATCATCATCCTCTGTTCAGATTTTTTATTCTGGGACATACTGATCCTCATAAGAAATGGGGAAGAGTATTGTAAAAAGAAGATAAGCATGATTAGAGGTCACAGAGATGAAAGAAAGAGGAAACTATACCCAGGAGAAAATAATTATACCAATCTTGCAATTCCTTTAATACTTGGAGGATTAGGTAGAAAATTTTCAGAATTTTTAAAGACCTAGATTTACAACCTATATAAACTTGGAGAACTAGATAAATAAGAAATAACTTGTCATAGTAGGTATTTCAAATAACATGAGTTTGTAACACACTGACAAATTATTATTTTAATACACACCAAATGGATGATGTTTTTGTTCCTTGGAAAGTTCCAGTTAAATCACAAGAATTTATTGGTATTTTACTAATATTTTCAGAATACCTACAAAGATCACCAAATCAATTAAACAATAACATTAAATTTAAATGTAGAGATTAGTTTCCTTTTAGTTATGAGCAAGAGAAAAATATTGAAAAACACTTCTCAACTCCACTTTCTCACGTTTAATTATATTTGTGCTTTTCTGTGATCTTCACTGATAATCCACAATATTCTAACCTCTCATTATTCAAACTATTAAGTCACCAAATCACATAATATTTTACCAAATATTTTCAACAAGGCCCCTTCTCATTACTAATGACAAACTTAAAACAACTAGAAGCCACACATCTATAAAACAAGGCAGAATGCCACAAAAAGCCAAATAGCTGGAGTAAATCTATTTTAAACAATGAGTGCATTTTTCTCCCAGCAAGATTTAACTTCAGATATGCTTCAATTTTACACAGTCACCATGGTAACCATGTTTCTTATAGAATCTAAATTTAAAATTAGTTCACATCTATTAGAATGAAATCATTACATACACACACACACACACACACACACACACACACACACACACACA